TAGACGATTTGTAGGATAAGACTGTTACATTTTTACAATAAACTAAATTAGATTAGTATACCACTATAACGGAAGAAAGGGAAAAAAAAAACAGAAAGACGGAGCTTAAAAATACCCGTGTATTCAACAACTGACCCTAATAATTTAACAAGATATTTTGTTCTAATTCTGATAACATTTATATTCATAAAAATTTTAACAAAAAAAAAAATTTTTTTTTGTTCATAAAATCTGATATTGTCTTAAATGATGAATACTAACTTACATACTAGTTATAGTGAAACTTATAAGTCCCTATAAACATTGGACTTCAGGGTCAACATTACTCAAAGCATTNGGACTTCAGGGTCAACATTACTCAAAGCATTACAGATGAAGATTTTTAATCTAAAGTATAATTTTTATTAAAGATATCCGGCCATTAATTGACGCGTAATTTTTGTAAATGTTTTTTAAAAGAAAATTTTTATAACATTTTACTAAATTAATTTAAGTAATTAGCTTCCCAATGTTAATACATGTTAATAGCTTTTACGTAACTCACTTGGGGTAGACCGCTTTGAATACCTATTCAACAATAGAACTATATTGTTACATTTATTTATAAATTAAATAAAGTATAAAAATTCCTCTACGTATTAAAATGGGTTGTTTTAGTTTTTCTAAAAATTAAAATGTTTAAAATAAAATTTAACAAAAATGTGTAATCACCTGAAGATTGGGATCCCACAGCTAATAGTGTAGTCACAACTAAAATAGTGCGTCCTGGTACTGAATCTACGTCCATCCAAAAGGACACCCAAGATATTACTACTATCAACATAGTCGGCAAATAACTTTGAACTAAATGAAATCCAACACTTCGGCTTATATAAAATTGAGCAACTAGACAGCTATAATTTCCTGTAAATTAATTAAATAATTTGCTTTGTTACGACATTAAGTAAAACAATTATATCAAACTTTAATTTAATTCTGATAAAAAGTTTGAAATATAAATATTAACATTCTAATAATATAAATAAAAAAGAAATTCATATGTCAAGTTTTTTATAAGAAATTACTAACGTATAATTAAACATAACACAGTATAAAACACAGAAAAAATCTTCAATTTTAAAGAAATATTATCTAGATAAGTAACACTTAATACCAATTTGAAATGATTCTTGACAATCAGAAGGTACAATGTCCACAATTTCGAATTGAGACATTCTTAATCCTTTAGCCATTATTACAGGATTAGTGGTTTTCCATTCGAGTCGTAACTCTTCAACAGTCTTTGAAACTAAAAAAGAGAAAAATTAGGAAAATATTCAGGCAATCGATAAAAATATTTTGGAAGTATTGATATAAAGTTATCTAACACTTACAACTAGCTACCTCCATTGTGCATATTTGGTTGTCAAGTGGAAATTTGGAAAGGTCCATCATGTATGAAAATGTAAGTTTCAATCTAATAAAAGATGTAATTATAAATAAACTTTTCCCAGATCTTTGAATAAATATATTTTTTAAAATACTTAAAATTGCAGTCTAATACATTATTAACAAATGAATAAACCCTATTTTTGTACTTGTTACAAATGTTCGATAAGGTGTATTATAGGATGAATATTAAAATTTTAACGGTAATAAAAAAGTATAATTGGTTAAAATGTTCTATCTAATAAAAACGAAAATTTTCAATTATACTACTAATATCTATTTATAGAAAACAGCGTTAATGCAATCACCGAAAGAGTTTTAAAACTATCATATTTATATACGTTATTCACAATTATATTTGTATATTTTTGAGCTTCGATGCGAAGTTGAGAAGGTATTAATTTTACCAGGATGTGTTTATTTATTTAATTTTTTTTTTGTGCCTGCCACTACTTTTTTCAGCTCTTACTGACTTTTTTAAATTAAATATTTCCACAAATAAAGTATAAAATTAGTTGCTATACTGAATTACACAGAAAAATCATATCACTAAAATGAAATAGTTTTTATTGATCATAGAAAAATATACAAATTGATTGATTTTGTGCGAACCACTTAATTAAACGAAAAATAAAAATAATCTTTTTGATGGTTTCTTTTAGTTTAATGTTTTTCTCAATGTATCAATCATAAAAAAATGTTTATATTCAACCATATACCTTATAAGGGTGTCAACTTTAATTTTTTAAACGGCAACATACTAAATTAACGAGCTTATTTATTAGATAAAGGTCTAATTAAGAAAATGACTGGTCGATAACAATTTTTGAACCGATATTTCGGAAGTTATTGACATATTGATACGATATAGGAGAGAAAGAGTACGGTCGGAAAAGTTATAAAGCAGCATCACTCTTCACATCCAGACAATACCTTAAATTTTATTGGATGAATACAATTTTTTTTTAGAATAGATACATTGATAAAATCATTGAAAAATCAATAAAAAAAATATTAATATTATAGTCTGATTAATATGTATGAATGGACGAGTGATTGTTGGGATAAGTATAGATGATATCTGACATTAATAAACAACACCATCACAAGAACGCTTTGATGCAAATCTGTAGATGGTTTTTATCATACAAAGAATTAACACTTTATTTAGTATTGATCCATACATTTTGTAAAAAGTTATAGTATTTTAAAGTAAAAAAAAACCCAGCACAGGGGGGTCGCGGCACAGTGGTGACGTGGCATAGTTGGATTAAGTATAATGATATCTGACAGTGATTAAAATCACTATCAAAAAAAA